TTTTGACCATCAAAGAAGACAATTTATGTGAAGTACTATCTAAAAGTTAATACGTTCTTTCTCATACTTCAATACTTTGATGCATTTCACAGACTCAAGCAGAGTTACAAGGGACACCTTAATGGAAATGTAGCTTAACCCCCAACCATGGTAGAGGGCAAAGACCGCTGGTTCTAGAGTCAGAAGCTGGATTCAGATTCTGCCTTCCAGGGGTGTGACCGTGGGCAAGTCAGGCAACCTCCTTGGGTTGGAAAATGTAAAATGATGGGGTTGAAGTAGGTGAAGCCCATAGTCTCTTTCCACTCTCAGTCTATGAGCTTATGCATCCTATTGAGGTACTGAGAGACAGTGACTTGCCCAAAGAGCACTAGTCTCAGATCTCAGACCTCCTCCTCATAGCTAACACTCATATGGCCTTTCCCAATCCCTCTTAATTCTGGTGCCTTCCCTCAGTTGATTATTTCCTCCTTATCCTCTATATAGCTTGTCTGTACACAATGGTTTGCATGTTGTCTCTCTCATCAGACTGTAAACTCCTTGAGGGCAGGGACTGTCTTTTGCCTTTCTTTGTATCCCCAGTGCTTAGTACTGTGCCTGGCACATGGTAGGCACTTAATACCATTTATCTGAGGTTTGCAAAGTATTTTACATATATTATAACATTATAGAGACCAGTGATTGGCTTCCCACTCTTCCACACAAGCAAGAATACTGTTATCTGCTATGAAGAGTTAGACTCTTTTTATAAAGTTTAATGTTACAAGGCCATCAGTACTGTACTTCAATTTTATCTAGATTCCTAATAAGTAACTAGAAAATACCACAATAGTGTCCTCACTTCTCTTCTAATATAAATATTCAAATGCAAAAAAATAGAAAAGAAAAGAAAAATTGATCCAAGTCCAAAGTCCTGAAGCATCTCTTGGCTTGCAAGGAAGTAAAGTTCCTGAACACAATGCCAGATATTCAAGAATCACGAGGGAGTCTGAATACATTTACACTCACTATGTTTTCCCAAAACATGTAATAAAGACAACCCTCTTTAAACCAGTCTTGCTTACCGAACCAACCAGAGGCCTTTGAAGCCAGTTCTGATTACCAAACAGTGCCAGCCCCCCTTCCAGTGAAGTTCACTACTATCTCCTCCACTTCCATGAACAGGCAGATTTCCTAAGTGAGTCACTGGCTTCACTTCCCTTACCCTGAGGCTCAGGTGAGATGAGCTCAAGGAGGACAGGTGTTGACAAAACTCTGATTCAGTAAGAAGGAGCCCTCCCAAACAGGTCCCATTTACCACTTCTAGTGTTTTAGAAACATCCAATAGAACTACAACATGGAGGCCGAGCTACCCTTGCTCTGGACACAAGGTATGATCTTTGTTCCAAGTGACTTGCCATTTTCTGGAAACTTCTAGGCCCTTATACTCCCATCCCCCTACCCCCCACTTCACTTCAGCTGAGACTTCCCAGGCCAACACCTAGCATCTCCATGCCTGTGACGTCATTAATGGGAAACCAATCTCAAGAGCCCTCAGCTAGAACTGCACTCCCTTCCCTCACCCACCGCCCTCAAAAAACCCAGGTCTTGAGGCCCCAGGAGTGTGAAAAGACAACTAGGTTTCTGAAGACACCCAGTCCTACTTTTTTGAAGATGCGGTGCACCCAGGGTCCACTATTCTGGATGTATCCTTCCCTAGGAACCCTGCATTCCTTCCCCCTTCCTCCATTCTCCTGTCACTGAGATGCTTTACTTTTAGACCCTCCACTTCAGACCTTGCATGCAGATGCTTAATAAATGTTTTTTGAACTAAGCCTCCTCATGTTAAAGTGAAAACCCACTATAGCAAAAGCCTAAGTTCCATAACTACTTTCAAGGACTGGGATAATTACTGCAATGTCCACTATGGCTGAGCCATAACCTGGACTTGCCCCTGCTAAAATCTGATCTTCTTCAGGAAGCCTTTCCCAATTCTTCTTAATGCTGGTGCCTTCTCTCAGTTGATTATTTCCTCCTTATCCTGAATACAGCTTGGCTGTACATAAAGGTTTGCATGTTGTCTCTCCCGTCAGACTGTAAACTCCTTGAGGGCAGGAGCTGTCTTGCTTTTCTTTGTATCCCCGGTGATTAGTACAGTGCTTGGCACACAGTCTATGCACATACTGACTGGATTATACAGACTATAAACATAAAACTGCAAATTGAAAATTAGATTCTTTTAAAAAGCTGGCAAGGCCCTCAGACATTAAGTTCAACCCACTCATTTTGCAGATGAGGAAACTGAGGTAAACAGAGTTAAATAACTTGCCCAGGGTCACAGAGCAAGCAAGTGCCTGAGGCCAGAATTGAACTCAGGAAGATGAGTCTTCCAGACTCCAGACCTAGCCCTCTAACCCCTGTGACAAAGGTTCAAATACTACCTCTGATATCTATATGACCTTGGGCCTCTGTTTCTTCATCTGAAAACTGAAGAGCCGGGACTAGACAGTCTTTCCAGGTCTAGTTCTCTGATCCTATTAAGTCTCATTTATGACATAAACTTTTAAGCTGCTGATTACCTTGTCTAAGGCTTTCACTCATTTCTTATCCAAGTTAGGCTCACTTCATCCATAGGTGGTTTGTGGGAACTGATAAAAATCTAGGCCTGTTTTGCTCCTTACTTCACACAGATGCTACGCAGTTTTGTTTCAGTTACTAAAAGCATCTCTATACACATAATCCCTGACCAAAATCAAAATGTTTGTTAAACTGGCCTTCAGTCTAACAAGTAAATATGTCTTTATGTTACATCTATGCATTTCAGTACCTACTAAATCTATCTCTTAGGCACAACAAAGCTAAACAAAATTCAGAAAAATAGCTTGGGTTTTGCTTTAGGCAACTAATATTTCAAAACAGTAACAACAGGACAGCCTATCTCTGCCTAAATGCCCATTTATAATTCACTGTATAATTCAAAAAGGGGGAGCAATTTTCAAAATAAAAGTCAAAGTATCACTCAGAGAGACTAAAAGCAAAATACCTCCATCCCCAATATTTATCATACCAAAATCTCTTCCAGATCAGACTCCCTGAGAACAGTATAAGCTATTTATATGCAAAACTCAAGGACTGCAGTTTCCCATGAACAAACAAAGCTACCCAACAGAGTTCACCTTTCTAATCCTTTCCAATAACCACATCAAGCAGTCAACTCAAACTGATTTTTTTTCTGCCAGAAAAAAGAATACTATTTACTACCTCTATCTCCCAAATAGAATTTCCTTAAATAGAAACACTAAAAATCCTAAACTATATTAAACATCTTACTAAATATGGTGCCCAAGTTTCCTCTTACCATTTTTAAAGGATGATAAGGATGCCTGAGATCACATTTTGACCTCTCAAAGACATTAGCCTAGACAGTATAAATATGTCACATCAAGCAACAGTGTTCTCATGATTCCTTCCCAACAAATTAGAAGAATTGGGAAATGAACACTAGGCAGCAGTCACAGGCAACTCTGAAACCACATTCAGCAAATGACTGATATAAGAAAGCCATCTAGTGTTAATGTCAAGAAATGAAAATTTCGAACAAAAGAGCAAAGAGACAAAATTCGGACAAATATTGTCAAACTTTGTAAGCAAACCAACACCTATTACTAATTTTTTACAAGTCTTCCCTACCAATAAGAAACACTGAATTAAAAGGTAATGTTCTGAGTTCAGTTTCAGCAAAATGTGATTTCCCTGCTAAGTATTCACTGGCCCATTTGGCTTATAAAATATTCATATCTGGGGTAGTCATCTTGGATAACATTAACAGAGACAGGTTAATGTTGACAAATCTCAGCCAAAGAGGAATAAAGGCAAATAATCTTCACCCAGGAAGCCTCCCAATCATAGTTACAAGGAATCGAAGTTGATTCTCTTTGAATGGACAAGAATTCTAGAAATGAATGAATGTACAATGGCAGTATTCCCGAAGATACATGGATTAAGGTCCTACCTACCTTTTAAAATGTAATTAAGACATGAACAAGAGCAAAGGCACCAGGAGGGAGTGGCAACGCACGGGAAGGGTGAGAACACCGGAGACAGGGAGGAGGAAAGTGCGCACTGACTACACATAAGCCTTAAATTCTTGTATTCTGGGGGCACCTACTCTGTGCGAAGCAGAGGGGGGTTGGGATCCCTATGGATACAAAGTGCCCTCCTTCTCTCGCCCAGTACCAGACGTCTTTGAAAGGAAACAAACATTCAGTAAGTTAACAGAGTAACCCGAAAGTGACAAGAAAGATAAAAAAGAAATCTGCCCATTTTTTTTTAAAGATGGCAAAGAGATTTCGTGTGAAGGCAAATAGATTTACCCAGTAGATGTCACCCACAAAGGGATCACCTTTCTCTCAGTAACTTCAGAGAAAATTAAAACTGCTGCTGCTGCTTTATTATAATAGATTTGCAAGAAAGCATTAGGAATGGCTAAGGTGCAGCCACTCTGCGGTGAAAGAGGGGCGCGGGGTGGGGGGGGGGCGCAATTGCAAACGCAGCTTGTCTTGCTGCCCGCAGGGGGTCTGCGCGCAGACATCCCTTCGGCAGACACAACACTAACTCACAGCAAGCTCTGCATTTGCACTCTTGGTCCCCCGGCACAGTTGCGCCTTCGCTCCCCAGCTCCCCAGGACCGTCAGGAGCGGGGTTCTTTTCCACCCTCAACAGCCCAATCCCCCATTTTCAACTAAAAAAGACCCACCCCACTTCTTCGTGCAACCCCCATTCACCCTTTCTACAATGCAAAACCCCTTAAGGAAGGGCCACCCCCGGGTAGATCTCCGGGATGCGCTCCCCGCTCCCAGAAACCCCACGGACACTTCTACTGGATCACAACAAGGAATTTTTCTTCTCCCCCCCCCCACCGATCTTCTCCACCAGCACCGCACAGATTCGCACCAGAAAAGAAAAAAGGATGCTTTGCTCTCCAAACGCAAGAGTAGGGGTTTGCAGACGCGCTCCTTCCATACCTGCTACAGCCCCGGAGCGAAACAAGGCTGCTGCTGCTGCTCCCGCTGCCTTTCTCCCGGGTTCCCCATCTCCTCCGAGGCTCCGGCTCGGGCTCCAGCCCCGGCTCCCCCCAGCACACACACTCCTCCTCCCCGCCAGACCCTGCGGCGGGGGGAGGAGGTCCGCGGGACAGGACCCGACTGGAGGCAGCGCTGCACCGAGCCCCGCTCTCCTCCCGCGCCTCTCAGAGTTGCAATTGCTGCCTCGCTCTCCCTAGGGTCGGGGGAGCCAGTGCTGCGATTGCAGTCAGCGCCTAGGTTCTCCTCAGCTGTCCGATGAAGGAGAAGAGAGGGGAGGGTGCGCGCACACAACTCCTCCTCCTCCTCCTCCTCCTCCTCCTCCTCCGCCGCCGCCTCTTACAGCTGCCGCTGCTCCTCCTCCTCCACCCCCTGCTTGCAACGCATAGTCTCCGGCTCCCTCCCTTCAACACCTCCCTCCGCCTCCCGCTGAAAGCCTTCCTCCCAATTCAATGCTCCCTCTCTTATTGGCCCCAGCTTACTTCCTTCCCCAATCCTCCCAGCTTTGGCCCCTAACAACACCCTTCGACTCCGGATTGGGAGGTGTCCCTATTACGCACCATCACCGCTCGCCTCCCGGATCACTCTCTGTTTTCCGACTCACAGTTGTGGGGAGCTGCGGTCTGGATGGAACGCTCTCGGGAGACCCAGACTTGGAGCTTCCACACCCCCGGGGGGCTCTAAAAACAAAGCAACCTGGGGCACCGAGGTGAGGAGGGCGGTGCTTCAAGAAGGGTCCTGGATGATTAAGAGCCTGAAGAGAGCTGTTGGGTCAAAATTTCCAGGTGTTCGTTACCTACCGCTGGCTATCTGGACTCTGGAAAAGCCAGTGTTTCACAAATTAGAGACCAAGGTTGCAGATCATCTCTCCCTCCCACCCTCCACCCCCCTCATCTTCCTATGTTAACACCCAAGGTCTTGCATTTGGGTTACCAAGCACTAATTAGAATCAGTCAGCGGGTATCTTAACTGGCCTTTCCTTTTCCTCCGGTGCGCCTTCATACACGCAGCTTCTCTTCCCAGGTTCTTCCCCAACGCCCCTTGCTTTGACTTTGCAACCTCTCTGGAACAACCCCCTAAAACTCACAGCGAAACCTGCTGTGAGTTCTTGGGAACCGTTTGCCCATCTGTCGCTTTGTATGCGAGTCCTTGCGGAAACTGCGTGTTAGCGGCTTTATCCAAAAGCAAAACAAACAAAAAATAAAACCTCCTGCGCCAGCCTAAGCATCCACAAAGCGCTTGGCCCTGAGTGACACAGTCCGCCCTGAGTCCAGGAAGAATTTAGATTCAGCCCAATTCCAGATCAGTTTGCGGGCAAGCGAATGTTATATGCAAAGAAATACAGCTTACTCTCCACGGGTTCCTTCACAGCCTCAGCGAATTTGGGCGGTAGGAATCCTGCAACAGTCGGGTCTTGGTTGGATTTTAGTAGATAGAGAGGGCTGCTTTCAAATACCAGTCTTCTTTCTTTCTTCCTATCTTTTTTTCCCTTAATATAGTGTGCCGGAATGCTGTTCGATGGCCATTATTATCTCGGTAGAGGATGGAACAAGCGGAAATGAGTTTAAATTAAATGTAGGAAATTTGGGTATGAAGTATGAAGAATTGCTTGACACTATGAAATGGTTAGTATTAGCATTAGTTACTGAAAAGTTAGGCAGACGTCTGATTTCAGAAGAATCTTTGACTATCAGGTTAGTGCCTCATCTCTGTTGTGCCGCACTGAGCACATCTGAAATCTGGGAATCAGGAGAGCTGGTTGTTACCAGAGGTAAATCATTTAACCCTTGTGAGCCTCAGTTTCCTCCTCTGAAAAACAGTGGTGTTGATTTCTAATATCCCTTCGAACATGCTCTATCACCTTATGATCTATAACTTAGGAATAATCCTGCCTGGAAGCAGTGAGATGGAGGAAAGGGACACTACTCACTCTGCTAACAAGTCCGTGATGGTTCTTGGCTTTTGTGGCCCTCCATTTATGAACAAAAAAGATTGATGAAACCTTTCATAAAAGGTAAACTCGGTTTTCTGCCTTCCACACTGTCTTCATGGACCCCAGTGAGCCCAGCACTGTACAAAGAAAACAGATAAGATTCCTCCCTGACTTAAATGCTTTTTTTCCCCCTAGACTTAATTATATAGTCTCTTGCAGTAGATTCGTGTACTCTAGAATGATAATTTTATCACCTTTTTTCTTCTTCTTTAGAATAGGGATTATAAAATTTGTCCTAGGTTCTACCCAATTCATTATGCCTTAAATAAAAGTCAATATACCCTAAGCATAAAGGCCCCACTCCTAAACCTGGCATCGTTAAAAATGCTTGCAATAAAAAAGCTCAGGATAAATCTGTGCGTGTTTTAAAAGTTATAACCCTGGAGCTCTTAATCTAGACTCGAACACTGTTGTCACACTGTGGTATAGTGGAAAGGACACTGTATTTGAAATTAGAAGAAGGGTTCTATTCTCTGACTCTCATTTACTTGAGTGACCTTAGGCAAGTGAATTAAACTGTCTCAGTTGTCTCATTTATAAAATGGGGATAATGTAAGCCCCTTGAGGGCAGGAACTGGTTCACTCTTACATTTGTATCCCTAGCACAGGATAACTTTTGAGTCAGTCAGTAAATCAATAAATACTTATTAAGTTCCTCACACAGTTCGGCTGAGAAAAAAAAAAACGGTAAAAGACCATCCCTGGTCTCTAGGAGCTCACAGTTAATAAATGTTATTATTACTAACAATAACAACAAAACTTGTCCTACTTCTGGCTTGTTGTGAGGATCCATTGAGATTATGTATGTAAAATGCCTTGAAAAGTGCTATATAAAAGTCAGCCATAATTATTGTTGCTCCCTCCCCAGGCCCTACTCACCACTCCTTCTTGAAGATCTTAGGAAGATCATCAAGATAACCTTCTTAAAGGGTCTTGAACATCCTTTTCCACAAAATAAATCCAAAGGTGTTATTATTCATTGCCTCAGCTTCCTTTGAAGTCTTTCTGTTTCCTAAAAACCATCTTTTTTCTTGCCATGTAGAGCAGGGTAGGCTACCCAAAGCTGTTAGATGGAAGGGCTGAGACCATGGACCCATGGCACTCACTGTTCAGGTGTCCTATCAATTCATCATTTTGGCCTTGGGATATCACATTGAAAAACTTTCCTTTTTTTACTATGGCTGTAAATTGTTCTGAGGTTTAAAAGAAGGCAGTCAACTATGAAGTGTAAAATGATATCTACCTAAAAGCGAGAATTACCTGTCATGTCTTTTCTTTGTCCTCCCTCACTGACCTTCCCTCCAGCCAAAAGTCCCTTGATTCCTGCTCTCTGATTCTAACCTCCTATCTCTCCCAAAAATGATCAGTCTTACTTCACTTATGAATTACAGTCTTGATCCTCAAGGACCAAACTCAATGTATATCCATTCCCTTCCCAATCATGTATCTTTCTGTGCCAGTTTGACCTACCCAATGAGATAATGTATGTAAAGTGCTTTCTAACTGCAGAGGAGTATATAAATGTGAGAATTTGTTTGGGGATTCAACCGTAAATGAAAATATATAAAAACTATGACTTAATGCAAGTGAATTCTATATCACTTATATCTATTTCCTTTCCAAAGGCATAGAGAGATACAAACAGCCAACGCAGACTTGGGTCCAAAATTTAAATCTGGCTATTCACTGTATTTACCTAGGAATCTAGAAGTATTGCTAGGGCCTTTCCTTCTACTTTAATGGATTCTGATTGAATAGACAAAAAACTGCACTGGCCTGGAAATCAAGAGACCTGGTTCTTACCCCATCTTTGTCACTGGCTTGTTATGTGACCCTGAACAAAGAGTCAATCAATTAGCATTTATTAAGTGCCTGCTCTGTGCCAGATACTATGATAAGTGCTGGGCTACAAAGAAAAGCAAAAGGCAGTCCCTGATCTCAAGAGCCTAGCAGCCCTATGTCCCCATCAGACAACATGCAAACAACTATGTACAAACAAGATACATGCAGGATAAATTAGAGATAATCAACAAAGAGGAGACACTAGAATTAAGTTTCCTCATCTCTCTAGGACTCCATTTCCTCTTCTGCCAAATGAGGGCACTGAATTAAATGATCTTCAAGGTCCCTTCCAGATCAACATCCTGTGATCTCTTCCAACCCAAAATTCTGTGGTTGTGTTCTTTTCTTATAAGCACATAATAACTACGTACAGTAATTGATCACAAACTGCTGCCAAAACTAAGTTCATGTTTAAAGTCCTAAAAACTGTGCCCCATATTTCCTCTCCCCACAATCACCACCACCTGCCCTCCCCCCCCAAAAAATCTCCTTTTAAGCCAAACTCATATTTACCGTCAACAAACAGAACAATACAAAAGACACTAGTGACACAAAGAAATATAAGACAAAGTCCCTTCCCGTTCTAGAGAAACCCACAGCTTAGCTGGGGAAAGATGACAAAGGCATAAGGAGATCAATAACAGTACAAGGGAGCATGAGCTAACTGCCCAGTAAGTGGGACAGAAATTCAATAAAGAGAACAATTGCAAAAAGTTGGGACATTTGAGAAAGATTTTCCTGAAGGAGTTGGGCCTTTAAGGAAGGATAGGGCTTAAGCAAACAGAGATAGCTTTCTAGGCAAGGGGGAAAGCCACCTGAGCAAATGTCCCAAAGTGGGAATAAAGACCAGCTGGGGTCAAGGGTTCTACTCATACAGTAAAATGAACAGATTTCTGTTGTGATATTTAAGGTACCATAAACTGCACTAGCCAGGGAATCAGGAGACCAGGGTTCTCCTTCCAGCTCACCCACCCAGCTCACACTCATCGTATGAAGTTGAGAACATTTCTTTACCTCTCACTTTGTCAACAAGGGGATTGGTTGGAGTAGATAACGCTTAAGGGGGGTTCCATTCCTAATGGTCTGTAATTCTGGCTTATTAGCATGACTAGCACTTTTCATCCAGGATGAAAAGCCTTAAAAATAATAGCTTTTTATTCTTCAGAAACATCACTGTGCCAAACATTGCTGTACCCATTTTAAAGACGGAGAAATTGAGACAGAGAATTACTTATTGGAGCCAAGGAATAGAGCACATCAGTAAGTGCTGGAATGAAAACTCAGGTTCTCAGCCAAGAAGGCATATTACAGAACAAATTAAAAGAGTATCATAGTTATTAAACAGTGTACTAAAGGCCAAGAACTTGCCGGTGG